TGAGGTGGGCCCAGGACCCAGGTGTCCTAAGCAGCACTCCCCAGAGCTGGTGGTCCCTCCATGAAGGCACGGCTCACAATCCTCCTGAGTGGGGCCAGAGCAGGCCCAACATGGGAGATGTCCTCCTGACCCTCCTCCCCTACAGCACTCAGAGGGAGCATCTGGTCCTTGGAGCAGCCATGCTCAGACTAGGACACGCAACTCAGCCATTTGGGGGCAGGCAGGAGACAGAGTGCTTCAATAGCATGGCCTGCGTCAGAACGAGTGGCTGTGACGAAGGAGCAGGCGCTGTTTGGAAACCCAATTACCGTCTGCAAGGTGCCCCTCAGAGCTCCTGGAGAGCCAGACCAGCGACCAGCCAGGAGCCGGAGGGTGACAGCTCCCACTGCATCCAGGAGCAGATGGCAGCCCTGGGGAGACTGGCCTGGGACAGAATGTGACATTCTAGGGGTCACTGGCAGGCAAGTGGGGATAGGGAGGCTCACCCATCCAGACATACTGCCAGATCGATCTCCCTGAAAAGACAGCCCTCAGCACATCCCTCTCCTGCTCAAAACTCTTCAGTAGCTGCCCATCATCCACTGAATTGAGGCCAAAACGCCACCGCTCTGCATTCCAAGTCCTTCCCAGGCCAGCCCCAGGCTACCTCACAGACTCATCTCCTGCCAGTCCCTTCCAGAACCCTCTGCTCCAGCCAAATGGATTTGTTGTTCCGCAAACAAGCTCTTCAGTCAGTCCCCCACCCCCATGCCTTTGTTCACACCACTGCATCTCCCTGGGAATGTCCTTCCCCCACAGTCCCCTCCTCTTTTCATCTCCTTGTCTAAGCCTGCCCACACTGAAAGCCCATTTAGACATCACATCTTCCTGATGCTTTCCTGATCCTCAGTTAAAGTGACCTAACTTTCCTTGATGCCCAGAGCACTTCACCTGACCATTCAAAGACTTACTGCTTCCTGCCTCTTTGGTAATGAACCATGTCCACATCTTTATCCTCCATCCAAAGGCTGGGCACTCTGGAGCACAGGAACTGAGAGTGACAGACCTTTGTGTCCCTAGGTCCTAGTGCATAGAACATGGCTTGGGAAACCATTAGTCTCCCTTAGCAAGAATGCAGGAGTGAGACAGCTCTCAGCATAGAGCCTGGATGAAGACCACTGCATTCTACCCACTTTCTGGGACAGGGAGGCAAAACATCTCAGGATGGCCCCCAAACTGTCATCTCCTGGATTTGGCTGTCATCTGAGCCCTTGGCAAACTCCTGACGCCTGAGCTAAGGTCTGTGGGGACAGCATCTTCCCAAACCCCCATACACCATCCTGCTGACTTGGGTGGGTTTCTTAAGCTTCTCTCTCTGGTCTGCCTAGTTGCAGCCAGACGATGGCACACCAGCTGGCCTGTCTGTCTGGGCAGAGCCGACGGATGCCAGACGGAGCAGAAATGGCTGTGGGCCCAGCTCTATCCATCTCCCGTCCTGGCCCTGGCTGGGGGATGGGGTCTGCCTGCCTGCTTGCCTGCTGGTGCTGCAGGCAGAAGGGCTGGGGGCCCTTATGGTCTCCAAAGATAAAGGTTCTTCAGGATATGGACCTACTCCTTTACCACTAGCCACTACAACACAGCAAGACCCACAGCTAGCTTCAGATATCTGGGATCTCGTTTGTGCTTGGTCTAAAGGGTCCAAGAGCACAGGAAAGCAAACCCCAGGGTTGAGCTGCAGAATCATTTCAAATAGATACAAACTGAATTCACCAAATGCCTCATTTCCATCTAGCAAGACTCTACTGCTCCTTTAAAGTCCAATTCAGGGCCAAATTCTCTAAGAGTTGGGATTAATCATTCTCTCAATTCCCACTTCCCCAGTGGTCATAGCACTTTATAACAAAGCACCATGTTGATGCCTCTTGTGAACATGTTCCACTTAACTGTGAGCTTTCCTGGTGCTTGAGATTTCCTGACTAACAGGTCAGGCGCCAACCCACCACCAACCTGGAGGTGGGATAGAGAAGCCTGGGCCTAAGAAGCCCTAAGAGGCAGCAGGATGTTACTGCTACCTTCCTGGATGCTTCAGCAACTTGGCTCCATCAGGCCCACTGCCTTCATCCTTCGTCCTGGCCCAGGCCCACTTACCACTTGCGCTTCATGTAGGCAGCAGCTCGGTTCCCGTAGAGCATGGCGTTGTGAGGAGCCCTCTGCACGGCCTTGCTGTAAAGCTGAATGGCCTGGGTCCACTGCTGGCAGGCAAAAGCCTCATTGGCTTGCTGTTTCACGCGCTCCAGGTATGGGGGCAGCTCTACCTGGGGGCTATGGGGGAAGCAGAGCCAATTCAGGCCAACCAAGGAAAGTCAGAGAAGTCCCTCAGGAAGTCTGCAGCCCTGCCTGAAGGCCACTCAGGTTTTCTTGGACCTTGGGATCTGCACTGTCATCTAGAAGAGGGCTCCATTTGTATCCTTGGCCTGGGATACTGTGAGAGGGAATGATCACAATTCCAGATGCTCTGAGCCAGTGAAAAAACCAGACAGGCAGAAATGAAGCTATCCTGGACAGGTTTAGGGAATTCTTAATCAAATTCCTGGGCATGAAAGTAGCTGACATCACTTGCCTCCATGCTGAGCTTCCACCCAGGTTCCTCCTGTGGATCTCTTTATAGATAATTCTGTTTTTCTCAAGGGCTAGAGGATCTGGGCACATTGAAACCAAAGCCCGCACAGGGCCTGGCAGTGAACAAAGGCCAGAAGATGCTATGGATAGAGAAAATAAAATGGGGGAGGCCCATCTGTGTGGGACCCCTTTAGGAGGGGGCCCAGTGCTAACAGGAGCTAGCCCCTGGGTCCTGATCCCAGCTACTGGTATCAAGGGACCAGAGCTTCAGTTGAACATGACTGGAGTCCTACCAAGTAGAAGTGGCATTGGGACCACTAGCCACATTCCAGAAGCCTCTTTGCCCCAGTTCCCTGACTCTGGGGTATGTGCCTGGGAGGGGGTCAGGAAGAAAGTTTACAGGACATGCCCTTCCCTCCAGTCCATAAGGTGTAACTGGGGCTGGGAGGGTTGGTAAGTCATGCTGGCCTCACCTGACATGTGCCCTACTCTCCGGGAGCCGGAAGCCATTGCTGTGAAGGTGCAGGCCATTGGACACGCCGTTGGACACACCATTGGTAGACATCTTGCCATTCTGAACTTCTGGCAGGGCATGGGGAGAAAGGAACAGCAACAACTTAGAAGGAGGTCTCCATTTCCCCTCGGCAGCCCTCCAGCTTCCATCACAAGGTCTGACAGTTCCATTGTGGGGCTATCCTCCCAGGGTAAGATCCACTCCCAGAAAGCAAGTTCTGACAAGCAGGCAAGCAAGGACATAAAGAAAAGCCTGTGCGCCCTCTGCTGGCTGGAGAGGGACACAACTTCAACTTGGCATTACCCTTGGCTGGGGGTGGGGATGGGAATGGGTGGTGAGGAGGTGCCTAAATCAACCTTATGCCTCAGCAAGAAGTCAGTGAGGAGACTGATCCAGGGCGAGAAGGGAAGGGCAACTACTTCAGGTTCTCAAGAGCCAAGCCATGGAAAGAACCTGTTTTTTCAGAGGGAAGTGAGAAGGGCTGTGAAGCAAACCTCCTTGACAGACCTCTCTGACCCAGTGTTACCTTCCTTCTTACTGTACAGTGTTATTTCAGAGAACCTACTCCTTTTGGAGGATCACAGCCACAGCACACGGGAAGGGGCAGGCTTCTCAGCAGAGGCAGCGCGCACTCACGCTCCCCAGCAGAGCTGCCCTGAAGGACACCTGAAGAGAAAACTTACCCCCTGAGGAGTGGCATTTTCTAGGCAAGAGGAAGGTGTATGGCCGCTGCTTGTAAGTCAGGTCAAACAAATAGACCTAGGGTGGAGGGGTCAAGAGAAGAATGGACACCGTGAGGCAGGAATGTGGCTGGACCACACCTAGGTGGCTCCAGGAACACAGCTGAGTGTAGAGCAGGGAACCCTCAACTGAGGCGGGAGGGGTTTCTCTTGAGCAAACCTCAGGCAGGAAAGCCATTCCAGTTCCTGGCCGTTCGAGTGGATGGCCTGAAATGTTGTCATTACTTAGAATCATGTGTTTAGGCTGACAAAGCCCTCAGAGGTCTCATTTTACAGCTGGGAAAACTGAAGCCTCAGAGAAGGGAAGCAAGTTGTCCAAAGTAACACTGCTAGTTACCTCCCTTGGTAAATATTATCTATTGTTACTTAACACTTATTGAATTCTTACTTTGCTCCAGGACCTCTGCTAAGTGTTTTGTATGACTTTTCTTATTTCATTCTAAAAACCACCCCACAAAAAGGTACTATTATCATCACCTCCTTTATAGATGAAGAAATGTAGGCTTGGAGTTTCATTGATTTATCCAGGGCCACAAAAGCAACAGTGTGGCATAGCCAGCACCCAAAACCAGGTCTGTCTGGCTCCAAACCACTCTGCTATCTTTACGCCAGGTGATAGCTCAGCAATCTGAAGCCAGAGTCTGATTCCTAACTCAGGTGCTCACCCATTCTCCATCCCATTTCTCTTCTACAACATCACACTTTGCCTTTTAATGTCATCAACAGTTTCGCTTGCTACGGCTCTCCCATCAGCCTAGGAGGGGTCGTATTTCACATTTGTCTCCCTCATGTTTATGATAACGTTTCTCCCAGAGTAAGTACTCAGTGTTTGTAGAGTAAATGAACTCATGCAAGGCTTACTACATATCCTGACTGAGAGCATGTAAACAGAAGGTTAAGCAACCTCCTATTATCAAAAAATACTTCCCAAACTTGGCCTTAAACTACAGCCTGGCTGCATGCTCTCAGCCTCAGGATTTCCTCCTAGGAAAATAGCAGATGAGGAAACCAATGTTCAGAAAAATGAAAAGACTTGTTTAATGTCACAATACACAGCTAGTGAACAGGAGGCCAGCATTTGGAGGTAAGTCTGTCAGTTCTAAAGCTTACACTCAAGGTCAGGGCACTGTTCTGGGAATTCCAAGGATGTCATGTCACTTCCACATTTCACTGTAATGTCATTTACAACAAGGCTTCTTGTCTGTCTCATGACGGTGGATGTGGGGTACACAGCCCTGGCTGCTGGGTAATAGGAGCAGGGTCGGGCAGAGCTACCGTGGGCAGCCATCCATACCTGCTCTCCTCCCATGTTGACCAGCAGCTCTGTGCCATTGGGGCTGAAGGTTACATAAGTGGCAACCAGCACTCTCAGACGGTTGTTGTAGTCAGGCAGCTTCACTGGCAGGTGACCTGCAGGGAACAGCCCAGTCACCCTAGTGTGAGGCTCCCAGTCCCTCCCAGAAGGGGCAAGGGAGTTGTGTGAAGTCAGCCACATCAATGGTGAAAGCAATCATCGTCATCGTAAAAGCAGCTTCAAGTGCTGAGTTCTTACTATATGCACTGGACCAACTGTTTCACATGCATTATCTCATCGAGTCATTACAACCCCATTTTACAGAAAAGAAATGAAGACTCATCATGGGTAAGTAATTTGCCAAAGGTCGCATGATGGCTGGTCAAAGGTCGGTAGGATTAAAGCCCAGGTCTGTCTGACTCTAAGCCCCTTGCTCCTGATCACTGCGCCATGCTGGCTCCTTGCACTGCCCCAGAGAGAGGCAGCAC